TGTTATCTCATGAGCATTTAATGAAAGCTGTTTAAAATAAACAGTGAGAGGAAAGGTATTCCTTTCTCCAACTGCTGTAACATAAGGAGGTTGCTGTTGATATTGGAATAACAGGTGAAATAGCCTTTTTCTGAATGAGATATTTTAACAAACAAACAACACACACGCATAAAAACAAAGCTTTGAAACTAACACGGACCTATGTTTTTAAAAGTCATGTATCCTATATAATAAAGAGGTAATATGAAAATTAACCCTCATGCCCTCACAAGATGGCTGCCTACGACTAGGCCAGCAGGGGGGTTAGTGAGGGATGACCAAACGACTGAACAAGCAGGCTGTGTGGGGCAACCAGGCCAGCAGGGCGCCGTGAGAGGTGAATAGGCTGACAGGGAGGGCACTTGGAGATGACCAGGCCCTGGGGGGGAGGATAGTTGGGGGTGACCAGGCTGGCAGGGGGAGCAGTTGGGGGCAACCTGGCCCACAGGAGGTAGCAGTTGGGGGTGACCAGGCCAGCAGAGGGGGCAGTTGGGGGCAACCAGGGAGGCAGGCAAGTGAGTGATTAGGAGCCAGCGATTCAGGATTGTGAGAGGTTTAAACTGGCAGTAGGACATCTCCTGAGGGATCCCAGATTTGAGAGGGTACAGGTTGGGCTGAGGGGGATCCCTCCCCCGCCCCCTCCCCAGCATGAATTTCATGCACTGGGCCTCTAGTTTTCTTATGATTGATACTATCGGGTATCAAGTGTGTGAGGCACTATTTTAAGTACTAGGGGTAAGACCAGTGAACAAGAGAGTTTATATTCAAGTGGGCAGTGGTGTGTTTCAGATGATAAGTTTGTAATTCCAAATGCTCTGAACATTAGGAAAGAGAAAGGACAGAACAGGTGTGGACACAGGGAGCAGCATTTCCCAGTGTGATGGGTGAGTAAAGGTGAGCGGGTTATATAAGAACAAAATGAGGACTTTAGGAAAAGGGGAAGGAGGGGCAAAGTGTCCCAGGGGGAGGGAACAGCATGAGCAACGTTCCAGAGGCAGAAAGACAATCTGACTGAAGCAAATTGACAGGGTTTAGAGAAAAGAATACAAGAGAGGTGGGGGACATCTGCAGGAGTCTGGATTTCACCGAGGCTACGGGAGCCATAGAGGACTTCAGGAAAATGGGAGGGATGAGGTGTGGATTAACCTAAGGTGACCCGATTTTTAACAATTTGTCCCATGTCCTGGGTCATTTTTAAAAAGTCCCTATTTTTGGAAAGAATGCACGACAAGCTAGGGAAACGGCAGGAGAACGGGAAGGGAATATACGGTTTTCGGCGGCCAAGTGGCTATTTAGCCAGGATATGAGTTTTATATTATTTTTTGTTAGTTGTATAATGTTAAACTTTAATAATAACAAATAATTGTTCAGAACTGATTATCGAGAACTGCTTATCAAAGTTCGAATTGTTGATCAGTTGTTAGAATTGTGGAATACACGCTGTCCTTACCAGGAACTAATGCTGCGACTGAAGGCGTTTTTTCTAAGGTAAAGTTTGGACATCAGAAAAATCACAATTAAGTGTTGAGACTTTGAAAGCCATTTTATGTGTTAAATATAATTTAACAAATTCTTGTGAAAAATTTCATGACCTATTAAACGACAGCAATCTACTAAAAAAATTCACTCAAATGAGAAATATGCCAAAGAATAAAATAATACTATACATAATTATTTATTTATTATATTTATAAATTGTACTTATGTTGAAATTTTAAAAAATATATTACAATACTATTTTTGTGCTCTATGAAAATTTTTGTTGCTCCATATAGACCAAATTTTTAATCAAGAACCCCTCTCAGCCGAAACCGGTTTGGCTCAGCGGTAGAGCATCGGTCTGCGGACTGAAAGGTCCCAGGTTCAATTCCGGTCAAGGGCATGTACATTGGTTGCAGGCACATCCCCGGTAGGGGGTTTGCAGGAGGCAGCTGGTCGATGTTTCTCTCTTATAGACGTTTCTAGCTCTCTATCTCTCTCCCATCCTCTCTGTAAAAAATCAATAAAATATATTAAAAAAAAAAAAAAAAAGAACCCCCCTCAATGGTGCCCCGCTTTACCAATGTTAAAATCTGGACACCTTAGATTAACCTGATTTACTTCGGAGCAAGGTGAAGGGGCTAGAAAGGAAAACTGGAGGCGTAGCAGAGAGAGTTCTACCGGAAGGCGGGAGAGGGACATGGACAAGTGGAGCCATTGGAAGGGCATTAAAGCAGGTTTGGTAGAGAAAGAGCCACATGTCAGCAATATAGGGATAATAAAGATTTAAAAATATCACCTCCCGGGAATTTTGTTTGGAACAAGTTGGAGGGGATTCAGAATCAAATACAGCTGCCAATGTATTTGTGCATAGAGAAAAATGCTCAAAAGTTGGCTCATGCTCTACCACCAGGAGGTTACCAAAACAAGTGAGCATGCGCGAGATTACCGCGGGGCTAGGGCAATCCGGCTTGTTTCTGGCAAGGCCTTACCATTTCTGAATTTAGGAGGTCATGCAAAAAGGTTAAAAAAAAAAAAAATCAATGGCAGTTCAATTGCATTTCTTGAAGCAACTGTCTTGCAAGCGGAGCCAAAGCTCCGGGGAACTCGGGAGGGCGGGCTGCAGATTCCCTCCGGGCACAAAGAAGGGCGGAGCCGGCGGCGGGGACCCGAGCGCGAGACACCCCGCGCCACCAATCAGAGAGCGGGGAGCGCGAGGGGGGCGGGCGACGGCTCCTGCGCATGCGCCCCCCCTGCAGCGGGCTCGCGCGCGGTCTCGGGCCTGTTGGCGAACCGCTGGGAGTCGGAGCTGTTGTCCTGTTCCCGGTCTCCCCGCGTCTCTCCGGTGGTCCCCAGCTCGGCCCCGCGATGCCGGTGGACCTCAGCCAGTGGTCTGGGCCCTTGAGCCTGCAGGAGGTGGACGAGAGGCCGAAGCACCCGCTGCAGGTCAAATACTCCGGGGCGGAGGTCGACGAGCTGGGCAAAGTGCTGACGCCCACCCAGGTACCCGGAGGCCTGCGGGCCGTTGGGGCGGGGACCGGGCGGACCTTCCAGCTGGCGGGCGGGGCGCGGGGCGCGGCCCGCGGGAGCGATGAATCCCTTTTCCTCCCCCCGGACTTGTGGGCACAGGCTGGGTCCTGACCTGGGAACGGCGGGACCGCGGGGGGCGGGGCAGGGAGGCGGCCGTGGCCTGAAACGCGTTGGCCTTGGTCGCCCCCGCGTCCCCAGAGCCCCACCTCCCCACCCCCGGGCCTGGGGAATTTAGGTCTCCTTTTGGGGAGCAGAGCCCTCCCTCCCCCCCAGGACACATGACGCATTATGTAACTGGTGATCATCAGAGCCCAGCGCGGCCTCCTTTGTGTTAGCGGGTCGGCTGGAGGGCAGCGGGCCTTGTTTTACAGTTTGGCCTTGACGCCCTTGATGGAGGCGGGACCAGGTCCTGGCGCCTGGAAGTGGAGAAACCAGAAATCAAGCGTTCAAGACCCTGCGGGTTGTTAGTCACGAAGCTCTGGGGCTATGGTGTGAATTCAACTGCTGCCGATGACAATTGATTGTTTTGAAATAGGAAGCGCTCACCTGGCAGCCTTCCCTTTCCCTGACTCACTCTCCACGGCGGGCCACCTCGGTTTTCTCCTTCTCTGTGCACTTTTCAATGTCCAGTTGATTCAGATTCCACGTTAGCAGGCCCAGGTAACCGCCTGGTCACCAAATCTGGAGACCCTGTCATTTCAGACAGCATAAGGTTGTTGTTAAAAGAGGACTCCGTCAGCACCAGGGTTGAAATCCCGATCCCAAATCTTTCTGTTAATACCATGCTAGGTTACCAGCCTTGTATTACTGTATTGCTGATTGGGACTAAAATAAATGATGTGAAGAGCATATTAAACTTCAGCTCCTGGCCTTAGTAGAGTCAACACGCTTTAGCTTTTACTGATAATCTACTCTGTTGGGAATTTGATGGTTGGTTACTTTAGCATTTCTGACTTTTTTTTTTTTAACTCCAAACTGCTCCCTTCCTACAGGTTAAGAGCCGGCCCTCTGGTATTTCATGGGATGGACTTGATTCAAGTAAACTCTATACCCTGGTCTTGACAGACCCAGATGCTCCAAGCAGAAAGGACCCCAAATTTAGGCAAGTTGGAGAAAGTTGTGGAACTGCGGGTCATCCAAATATGAGCTGGTGCTTCTCGCCCGGTGTCAGCCCTTCACTGGACAGTGCTGTGCTAGGCCTGGGTGGCATGTTGGCATCCATGTCTCAGCCACAGCGTGAATTCCCCCCGCTTCCCTCCCCAGAGGGAACTACTGAGAGCCACATCTGCCTGCGGCCTGCTTTTCTACAGCCCACCCTCCCAGCCCCAGCTAAGAATGCTTTTTACATTTTTTAATAATTGGGGGGGTGGGGGGGCCCGAATTGAAGAAAGAAGAATGCTTTGTGACATCTGAAAATGAAATAAATTTTACCTTTCAGTGCCCATGAATAAAGATTTATTGGGACACGGCCACAATAACTTATTTAAATCTTGTCTGAGGCTGCTCATAGTTGAGTTGTCGTGACCACACAGTATGAACTGCAAAGCCGAAAACATTGACTGTCTGGCTCTTGACAGAAAGTTTGCTGCTTTAGACCAGCAGCCGCCAACCTTTCGGACCTTACAGACCACCGGTTGGTGACCACTGCTCTAGACGGTCTCAGAGGGAAGGAGGTGCTGGGTCCTCTCTCCTGCAGGCACATGAGGCTTGCGATGGCCAAAAAGGCAGGACTGTCCAGTTGGCACTGCATCCTGGCATGGAACGGGGCTTCACGCACGCTTGGTGGTGGTGCTGTGGGTGCGTGCTGATTTCCCCTGGTGTTGATGCTCCCGTGTTCTCTCACAGGGAATGGCACCATTTCCTGGTGGTCAACATGAAGGGTAACGACATCAGCAGTGGCACCGTCCTCTCTGATTATGTGGGCTCTGGGCCTCCGAAGGGCACAGGTCAGTAAAGGCTGTTTTAGGAGGCTGTGGGAGGGGAGCCTGGGTGCACTTTAGGGTTGGCCTGAAAGTGCTGCCGATGTTAGACTGATTCTTAGAGCTTTGTTCTTTATTTATGAGCGCTCTTGCCCTAGTGGAGGCTGCAGGTAGTGCAGTCCACTTCCAAGACAGTGGAGTCAGGTGGCTGGAACCTTGGGTTCGGGTTAGATGGACTGTTAGCATTGCCTCTAGGCTGCTAAGCCTTCAGTAAACGGAACTCTGTGAGAAGAGACTAAAGAAGCAGTGTTGCAGGATGCTTGAAAAGGCTTCCTACAGGGGCTGTATATGGACCAAACACAGTTAAACCATCTAAGATCTATTTTCAACTTCGGCCCTGTGGGATCTTTGAGCTTTTGGTTCCCATAAAAAGGTCTAAGAAATGATCATAGTTTCCAAATTAATTATTAAAAATTGGCTTCTTAAAAAAAAAGCTTCCCTTTTCTCTTGAAAATCGAGTGTGGTGTCTTGAAAACACTCTACCCTTCTCATTCTCATGCATTCATAAAAGGAAGGTAAAGGTACATCTTTCTCAGGGATCTATTAAGTTCTCTAGGGCAGTTATAAAATTAGGCAGTTTAATTATGGTAAGTACACACATGAGAATAAAGCAATTCTCTCAAGTAGGAGTTCTGTTCTCATTAACAAAAAAAGCCTCAGTAACTCACACTTTTTTTCATATTCTTTTAGAAAGGTGTAACTTACATGCAATAAAGCCACAGATTGTAAGGGTTTAGACAGTGGGTATTGATTGATGCACATACCTTTTTAAGTTAACTTTTCCCAGAGCTAACCATTTCCTGACACTGCTCTCCATCAATTACTTTTGTATTCCTATAAATGATATGCAGTATGCATTTGTTTTGAGTGATTGGTCTCTTTCACTGGAGATCATGTTTGAGATTCACCCATGTCACTGTTTGTATCAGTAATTTGTGCCTCTTTATTGCTCAGTGGCATTCCATTGTGAATATGCCAGTTTGTGCAGCCATTCTCCTATGGGCTGTATTTAGTGTTTGGATATTATAAGTAAAGCTGCTATACACATTCTTGTCATTGGTGGCCATATGTGTCCATTTTTCTTGGGTAAATACCTAGGAGTAGAATTGTGGGGTCATAGAAATTACCCAAGAGTTCTCCAAAGTGATGGAAAATTTTTATACTCTAATCAGCAGTATATGAAAGTTTCAGATACTGTAGATCCATATTGTAGCATGTAGGTCCCTATCAAAATCCATCCATATTGTAGCATGAGACAGGATTTCTTCCGTTTTTAAGGCTGAATAATATTCTGTTGTATATTTATACCATGTCATGTTTATCCATTGATCTGCCAATGGTATTTGGGTTATTTTCAATTTGGGTTGAATATTGGGAATAATGCTGCAGTAAACATGGGTATACACGTTTCTAAATAACTTTTCTTTCATAAAGTAACTCATGGCACCTATTTGAGAGCAGTACCTAATTGGAGCTTGTAGAATGCTGCAGGTTCGAGGGTGCTTGCTGGCTTGCTTTCGTACGTGCATTGCTGCTTAGCTGGTTAAAGTGAATTGAGCTATTTCATTAAAGCAGTCTCTTGTCTTCCAAGGAAGTAAGTTTGGAAGTAGAAAGGTGATGCTCTCCTGTAGTCTGTGCAGGTATAATTGGGGTCTGATGAGCCAGGGATTTGCTGTGCCCTTCCTCCATTTCTCATGCATTTTTTAGTATCTCCTGCCTGCCAGGCACTGAAGTAAGGTAGGTTCTAGACTCTAGAGAGATAATGGGCAATAAGAAACACCGTACCTGTTTCTTATGGGGCTCTCTTTTCAATGAGATGGTTAAATTAACAAGTAAGCATTTTAGATAGCCATGTTACTGTGACAAGTGAAATGGGCATCCTCATGGGAGTGGTGGGAAATGGCTGGTGACCAGCTCCTACTGGAGATGGGCGGGAATCCTGGAGTGGGATGAATGAGGAGCAAAGAGCAGTAGGAGGGCCAGATCCTATCGGTTAAGAGGCTGTAATGCAGATGTGGATTGCATACCACTTGCAGTACAGTGCTACTGGATGTGTTTCAGCAGGTGAGTGAGCCAGTTCATCTTACCTCACTGGGTTCTCAGCATCTTTGCAGATGGGGTGGTCTGGGTCCCTCCAAGTTATGAAAAAGGATGATGCCTCCATCAGATGCCTAGCTGTCTGTGTATCTTTCCTCCTGCCTCTCCCTCCAGGCCTTCACCGCTACGTCTGGCTGGTTTATGAGCAGGCCAAGCCACTGAACTGTGACGAGCCCATTCTCAGCAACCGATCTGGAGACAACCGCGGCAAATTCAAGGTGGCATCTTTCCGCAAAAAGTACGACCTCGGGCCCCCAGTGGCCGGCACGTGTTACCAGGCGGAATGGGATGACTACGTGCCCAAGCTCTATGAGCAGCTGGCGGGGAAGTAGGGAAAGCCAGGAGACAGACATGGCCCCGGGGGCCCCAACCAGTGTTCTCAAGTTCAGTGATTCATGTTGATTTCTCTTCCCTGTTCCCACTCTCACAGGAGAGACCTGAGCGGATAGAGCTTTAGGGTGACTTTCCTTCTGCCTGTCCTTTATCATTGTACAGGGTCACACACCCTGGATTTATGTTTTGATCAAATTTGAACTCCATTTTGGGGGCTATTTTGGTACTAGGATGTGGTCATCAGATTGTTAATACAAGATTAACAACCCAGAATTTAAAGGTGTATCCTCTGAAGAGCAGTACTGGAAAAGCAATCTGGAGAGTCCCTTTCCTGTTAAGCTGTAGGGCTGGGTGAGGGGTTATCTGAAATCTGATAGTCTGTACCTGTTAAGTTTATCACTCTTCCTTGGTGTAACAAAAGCCAGTCTGGAGTTGCTAAATGGAGTTGTGTTAATTCTGCTATTTGCTTACAGTTGAATAAAAATAAAAATTGTGTGGAAAAACAGCTTCCAGATATTTTGCTCTTTTGGATATGGGGTTTCAGAAATGTGGGAAGTCAAGAGACTACCGGGACGCTGAATATCCCTTTTGCTGACCAGCTGAAATGACTGGGACTTGATTCAGGGACGCACACATGCCATTAAACTATAGTAAGAACAACCGTTCATTTAAATTTGAGGGTTGGTTGGTTTTGTTTTGTTTTTAAAATCACAAAACTTTAGCCAAGTCTCTTTGGCCAAAAAGCACCTTTGTTTTTTGTAAGTGGTTCTGGACCCATGCATAGTTGTGTGTGAACACCATAACAGTTGGCTAAAGAAAAGCCTACACACTCTTGTTTTGACTTATAATCCATATAGAAGCAATACTGAAAGGGGGCAGGGGTGGGGGCAGATCCATCACTCACAACAGTTGATGAGGCAAAAGAAAGGAAAGGTGTTTGAAGGACCACATCGCTGACCTGGTTTGTGGGGGGCAGGGTCCCAAGTTAGCGCGACAGGCCCTAAGCCAGGCTGGGCTTTCCTCCCTTTTCGCTGCCGTGCTTTTCCTGGAAAATTGTTGGAAATGTTCCTCTTGTAATCTTGGGGGAGATAAGGTAGACAGTAATTTATTTTTTACTTCAGGGGCTTAAAATTTATTTTTTTAAAATATTTTATAAAACAAAAGTTGTAAAGAAAACTACCCTGTTGACCTTAAAAATAAATGTGAAAAGTAATCCACCTGGTTGGTCAGGGCAGACAGTGTAGGAAGAAAATACTTTTTCTGTTTCCACTGTAGTTAACGGTTTTCTTTCAGAAGAAAATGTAACAGTATCCTATCTAATAATAAAAGAGTAATATGCACCAGGCCTGGAGCGGCCGGGCCTGGTGAAGCTGGGCTCAGAGCAGCTGGGTCGGGAGCAGCCAGGTGTGGAGCAGCAGCAGCCAGGCCCGGAGCAGCCAGGCCGGGAACGGCCAGGCCCAGAGCGGCAGCAGCCAGGCCCCGGGCCCCGAGGAGCAGCGGCCAGACCTGGAGCAGCTGGTTGTGGAGTGGCCCTGAGCAACAGAGGCCAGGCCCGGAGCAGCCGGGCCGGAACAGCTCGCTCCTCGCTTCTCTCCTGCCCATGCCCCAGGGCTGCTTCTCAGACACGGCTGGAAACTTTTGGGGGAACGTGAGGGTCTGCTGAATTAAGTGATGAAGGCTTAGATCTGGATGTGTTGAGTTGTTGTAGCGCTGGGGTGTTGATCTGTGAGTGCCTTGTGTGGGGTCTGGATGAGGTTGGTTGATCTGTTTGGAAGTGTCTTTTGTGTGAAGTGTATCCTTGGGCATGTGGAGGTATTATTGATTTGAGAAAATGCTAAGTAATTGATTTACTACCTGAAAAATTTAAAGTTCTGAAAGTTTAAGGTCTCTTGCCAAAAAGAGGTTTTAAAGCTAACACCTTAATTTTAATGGAGAAAGGGGAGGACAAGCCCCTCCCACCCAGAACAGGTAATCCAATTCCAGCCAGCAGCTATCTTTAAACAATGTGTTCATTTACATTTGAATGGCTATGCCTTTTGATAGCCTAAGGGCAAGTTTACATGTAAACAAGTTTGCTTCTCAGTTCCCAGGGCAGAAAAAACAAGGTTTAAAATTCTTAGATTTTAAAATTTATTCTTAAAAATATAAAAGTCTATTAATTAAAAAAAAACAAGGAAATTAAAAAACCTGATGAACAATATTAACTTGATTATAATTGAATCAGAGATACGGGAGGGGAGTGGACTGACAATTCTCGGGGAAAAGGGGAGTGGTGGATGCAGGAAGAGACTGAACATAAACTGTGTACTTATGGATGAGGACAATGGGGGGTGGGGAAAGGGCAGAGGGTGGGGTGGGAACCTGGTGGAGGGGGGAAGAAATGAGGAACCTTTGTAATAATATGAACAATAAAGATGGATTAAAAAAAAAAGATTTTCAATGATAATAAAAAATAATATGCAAATTCTCTGTACCTCTGTTATACCCATAAGCCATGCCTATCAGACAATCAGGAGTGAGTATGCAAATTAACCCAATAAAGATGGCTGCAGCCACAGAGTGAGCAGGAGTTTTGGGTTTCCCCGGCAATGGAGGAAGCCAAGTTTTCTGGACACCCTGGCCAGCCTTGGACTCCACTCAGGGCTACAAAATTTCAATGATAGAAGATAAATAAATCCAACAAAAATGGCAGCAGCCACTGAGCTGAAGAGAACAGGAGGCTTGAGTTGCCCCTGGCAATGGAGGAAGCCAAGCTTCCGTAGCCTGCCTTGGCCTTCACTCAAGGCTATAAAGTTTCAGTCATAGAAGATAAACAAATCCCAACAAAAAATGGCTGTGGCCATGGAGCAAGCAGGAGGCTTGGCTCTGCTCAAGGCTACAAAGTTTCAATTATAGAAAGTAAATCCCAGATACCAGGATCACCTCCACTTGGATCACCGTGGGGTGTGGCCGGCCTGCAAACTACCATAGGCCCCTTTCCCAGGCTGTCCCACACCCCAAGGGAACCCCCACTCTGATCTGGGACACCCTTCAGGGGCAAACCAGCTGGCCCCCACCCATACACCAGGCCTCTATCCTATCTAATAAAAGAGTAATATGCAGATTGACCATCACTCCAACACACAAGATGGCTGCCCTCATGTGGTCATAGATGGCTGCTCCTGTGTAGACATAAGATAGCTTGCAGGGGAAGGCTGTTGGGAGGGATCAGGCTTGCAAGGGAGGGCAGTTGGGGGTGACCAGGCTGGCAGAGAAGGAAAGTTGGGGGCAACCGGGCCTGCAGGGAAGAGCAGTTGGGGGGGATCCAGGCCTTCAGGGGAGAGCAGTTGGCGGGGGGGGACCTGCCTGCAGGGGAGGGCAGTTAGGGGCAAACAGACTGGTAGGGGAGCAGTTAGGCATCAATCAGGCTGGCAGGGGAGTGGTTAGGGGGTGATCAGGCTGGCAGGCAGAAATGGTTAGGATCGGTCAGGAAGGCAGGCAGGCAAGCAGTTGGGAGCCAGCAGTCCTGGATTGTGAGAGGGATGTCCGACTACCTGGATCGGGCCTAAACAGGCAGTCAGACATCAGTTGAGGGATCCCAGATTGGAGCCGGTGCAGGCTGGGCTGAGGGACACGTGCATGAATTT